TTGTTTTTTTTTTGTGCAGAATCTTGTATGTTTTTTTGTTTTGTTTTCTATTTTTTCTTTTTTCGTTGTGTCCTACCGGTTGTCCGAGGCTCGGCAATAAAGTCTGAGGCTCGGGAATGACCGGGCTACCGGTAGCCTGAGCCACAGGCCTTAACAACCGGTAGGTACTGGTAGTTTAAGAGAACAACCTGAGCGGATGCTATGGGTGCTGATGAGAGCGAACCACTAGCACTTCCTGAAAGGCTTGTCATGATCTATTGGTGTGGAGCAGCACCTGCTGGAAAGCTGGTCCAGCCTCCCTGAACATCGATTGTAGTTGTTTGTGTGAATAGACATGCAATAATTGTAATGACAGCGAGCTACTGGGCAGTCTGGGCTCACCTACAAAGAATGAAGTTTGGCAGGTAGAACTACACAGCAGCCTGAGTTGCTTGCCCACATGACAGCCTAAGGTAAGTGATAGTATACACAGTCCTCCTGGCTGCTACTAGGACCATTGGTAACCTATTCTAGGTATAATTGCTCTACTAATTCCACCCCATTCATCCAGCAAACCGCCTCTTGTTGTCATAGCTGTTTTTTTTAACAGAGATTTCTTAATTTGCTTGGTGACCTTCACTTCATTTCAGTGGAAATGTGTGAAGATTATTCACTGTTGAATAATTGAGCATTCCGCTCATCACAGATTTCTTAATGAGGATAGCCCTGATCTTGTGAACCACATATAACCATTTTTTCTCTCTGCCCTCTGGGCCTGGTTGCACTTCTCTCCATAAGTTTGGCGAGTAGGCGCGTGGTTGCGGTTACTTGCCAAACTTGGTGCGAGGAAACCTGTCAGAACTTTTGCCGAGTTTCCTTTTTCAATCCATGCGGCGAGTTCCCGACCCTGTACTGCTATTTTGTGGAGGGTCATCCTTGTGACCTCTCCACAAAACAACCGACTTCTTGGCGAGTGCACAGCTTCACGAGTGGATATCAGGCAGACAAAGTTTTTAAAACTTTTTTCTATAGAAGAAGTATAGTGGCGAGTAAGTGCAACCAGGCCTCCAGTTCGACACGATTCTAGTTTTTTTTTACTCTCCACACATCTGCCATGGATTGTGGCGGATGGCAAGTAGTGCAACTACGGCGCTCTTTAGACACTCCTCGAGAACGCAAAATCCCCAAGGAATTGTTTGTTCCACCTATCCTCGGGGATGTAAGGAAATTGCTCGGGCAATAGGACTTTCGGATGTAAGGAAATTGCTGGGGCAATAGGACTTTCCCCAGTCATTTCTTCCTATTGCCCAAGGGACCTCGCTTGGGCACAAGGAATTCGCGTTTCAATTCGCGTTTCACCGTAGAGAGACGGTAGAGTAGAGAATCTGGACCATGGTGGCACCCTATTGGCTGAAGGCCTGAAGCACAACTGTTTTTTTTTTTCCCTTTTCTTTTTTCTTTTCTGGCATCTCTCTTAGGGAATGTCCTGGGGAAGGACAGGTGGAACGACGGCCCAAATTTCCTTTTGAACAGGTGGAACGACGGCCCAAATTTCCTTTTGAACAGTGGAAAGACCGCCCAAATTTCCTTTTGAACCATTAGGAATTTTTCCTATTGCCCGAGGATTTCGAAAGGAGTGTCTAACGACGCCCTAGGCCCTTTTGCATTGTTGCCCCTGGTGGATGCCCGAAATGACACCTGATAGTACCAGTACTCTTTTTTTTTTTTTTTGTCGGAAAGAAGAGTATATAATGTCAGAAGTCACTTTCCCCTGCCGTGGGAGGCAGGGAGGAATCGTAGACGAGCGTCAGCCCCGTTTTGTGAAGGGAATAAGACGGCTACCACTCTCCTGAATGCATCTGACAGTAGCTTCGTACATTCGTGGATGAACCTTCCCACAATGACTGATCCCACACTACTTACGGTATTTACTTACTTACCGTACAAGGAAAGAAAAAGGAGACCCGCTGGATGGGCCATAAAAGAAAAAGAGACCCCACGATTCCGGCAGGCGAGGAACCTTTTATGACGATTGTGGCGGTGTGTTCTTTTTTTTGGGCGGCCGAACCAATAGACACGGACATTCAAAAATAAAAAAAGAAATCAACAAAAAAAACACCATCAACAAAAGAAAAGCTTCTTTTCGGGAACGGGGTACGGGTACGGTTCTTTTCTTTTTTTTTGGGGGGTGATCACAACTGTCTATTATTCTTCTCTCAACTTCTGTTTTCGAGAACGTCTCAATCTTTTTTTTTTTTTTTTTTTTTTTTTTTTTTTTTTTTTTTTTTTTTTTTTTTTTTTTTTTTTTTTTTTTTTTTTTTTGCTTGTCATCCTTGCGCAGGGGCCATGCTATGTATCGATCCAATTTTAACAGATGTCCAGAAGGACTCCTCAATCTTTTCGCCGGCAATGGATCTTCCGAAACGGGCAGCAAACATTTCCACCTGCCTCCGGGGCCTGCGGAGCGCCCTACATGTGGGTGGGGGGAAACAGGTGGGATCCGTGAAAAGTTGAAAACAATACTTTTTACTTACCCTTGGTAGTAGTGTGGGATCAGGCCAGATTTCCCAAAAAAAAAATAAAAATAAAAAAAATCAGGCCAGACACAAGGTCGAAGGAGCAGCATGTTGGCAAGCCAGGATTTGGCCAGAAAGAAGGGCAATTAGCAAAAAAGATTTGTTGGATTGTTTGTACTGGTGAAACGGACATAAATTGTGCCTGAACCTGGACAGTTTCAAGCGAACCTGCATGATGAAAAATAGATTTGCTTTCCCCGAGATTGAGCACTTACTCAGCCAAACTGATAGTTCATATCCGTGACAAGGGCTTCGTCGTGTCTCAAATTGTTCCGCGAAGGGAGTCATAAATTACTACTCCTGATGCTGCTGCTGCTGCTACTACTACTACTACTACTACTACTAGTGTGCTAGTATACTACCACTACTACTACTACCGCTGCTGACGTTGCTATCATCATAATAATAATTGTCATTAGTAAATATTAAATAATAATATTAAGAATAATAGTAATCGCGAGTGAGCAATAGTGAAGAAGAACAACAAGCAGCGTCTGTCTCAGAAGATTGAATCAGATCGCAATGACGTCAAAGAAAAAGATCAAAAAATAGTACAACGTCGTCGAGTGGAAAAGGAGTACGTGACGACGTACAAGTACTAGAGTAAAGACGAGAGGAGGAGGAGGAGGAGGAGGAGAGGAAAGAAGGTAAAAGAGAAAATAAGGAGTATGACCGAATGATCGAGATGACGTCAAGAAGCTGACTCGACGTCGTCTACTACCGTCAGCACAAGAAACCGAGGACGACAACGAAAAAATAAATAATGGAAATAAACAACCCCAGCGCGACGAGGAACGAGAAAAGAAGGCGACGACGAGACACAGGAAAAAAAGAAGGCGACGACGACGACACACACCTACACACACACAAAAAAAAAAAAAAAGAGAAAATAGAAAAAAGGAAAAAGTATATCGACGAGGATACAGAGACGTAGCAAATGAGACGGAGACGAAGAGGAAGAGGAAAACCACCATGAGAAGAAGAAGAAGAAGAAGAAGAAGAAGAAGACGAAGACGAAGTCGCCGTAGAAGAGGAAAAAGACGAAGTAGGTAAAAAAAAAAAAAAAAAAAAAAGTAATAACCACAGAATAACTAGCTGCGTTGTGTGTGCACTACATGCAACTACTTTTGATAACCATGTTCCGCGTTCGAATCCCGCGCGAAGACTTCTGGTCTGAACATTTTGGGTCCTGTTTGGGGACGAACAAATACAGAGGTTTTTAAGGCGCTTGTCGCTGTGCAAAACCCTGCAGAAACACAAAAAATACCGAAAAAAAAAAAAAAAAAAAGTACCGACAGAGGAAAGGCTTACCTGCCCAAACCCGATCACTACTCGCGGCCATTGAATCTCCCAAATCGATTTTCCGCGTAGGACAGGACAATGCAACCAAAAAAAAAAAAAAAAAAAAAAAAAGAAGAAGAACAAAGAAAGAAAAAGAATGCCGCATTGCCGCGACCCTGATATTCAACTCCGGTGTGTATCTGCTGGTCTTGTGCACACCTCGTCGCTTCGTCAGTGCATAATACCAAGAATCTCAAGCTCGCTATCTCACTACCTCCCCACTAACTCCTCCTTCCTCTCTCTCCTCATCCTCTTTCTCTCTTTTCTTTCCCCCAAATTTCAAAGCAAAAACCAACCTTCTATTCTTTTTTGATTTAATCCAAACAGGGAAAGCAGGACGACCTCCCCCCAATCAGACCCGGCGAATTAACTGGGGCCATAATTACCACTCTCCAGCTCTATCAGTTACTACAACCCCTTGTCCCGATACTCCATCCCGGTCAGGATGGGATCCCTTCCTCTCCTCCCTCTCCTCCCTCCATCCCCATCCTCCTTACCTCTACATATATTGACCACTTGGAGGTACCATGCTTATAGGTCCACCGATTGCCGGACCCGTCCATTTGCCGCCGTTCACGTTGATCGAGATCGTCCGGTACTCCTGGCACAAGGCACATCCATGGCAGAAGGCATGCCGAAGGCAATCCGTCGCGGCGCCTCCTTGGAGTCCGAACTTCTTCCTCAGCGCATTTCTATGCCAGCCTCCATAAAGTCCGATGCAAACGAACAGCACAATCGAAGCCGAGATAAATAGGTTCGTAATGGTCGCCTCATGAGACATGTCGGGGTGCTTGGTCTGAAGAATGATAGCTACAAGGTACAGAACAGAGTAGATGCCAAAAGAGGCGAGGAGATACAGGATGGCTTTGGGAAGACAACTGCCCAACCTTGCCATTTGCATGCTCTGCCCGAAGGTGACACAGGGGCACCAGTAGGTTTGACAGCACAGGATGCACCCATCCTTATCTCTCCCAGGGAGGCAACAATTGCAAAGACCCCCGCTCCATTCCCTTCTCCCGGGACCCGTTAGGGAAGCTTCCATCGCAGATTATACACCAGCTATGGGTTGCTAATGCGCACGGCAGCTCCCCCCCCCCCTCTCCCCCCCCTCCACCGCGCTGCCCCTTCTTGCGATGGAGACTCGGCCTCTCAGGAAGGGATGGATGGATTGCCAACCGCCCGTCCGACTCTGTTGGTCTCGCTGTGAATAGCCTGCGCCTATAGCTCTGGATATGGCTATTGGATAGCCTATGGACACGGACGGCGGCGCTGGAGTGTTGCTCCGGATGGGTAACCTCCAACCTGCTCCTGATGAGCGCAAGCCTAACGGCGCGGGCGATGTCCGTATGTGATAGCGCGTCTTCACATGGATTTCTGAAGCAGGAGGGGGAAGCCAGTCCGCGGGAGCCAGCGAATATTGACGGAATGCCGGCTACATCGGTGCCCGGAGAACCTCCTTCAGGAGCGCAATAGCCGTGCGCTTGATCTTCGTGATTTGCGGCAGGTGTGCCGCGTCGCCGTCGCTCACTAAGCCATTCACTCCTCAACTCAGCTGGCCCTGCAGGCCGTCATCATCCCGTGACCTGTTGATAACCCTCTCTCTCTCTCTCTCTCTCTCTCTCTCTCTCTCTCTCTCTCTCTCTCTCTGTGTGTGTGTGTGTGTGTGTGTTTGTGTGTCTGTGTGCAGTGTAGCACACGTGAGAGCGCGAGTGAATGTGACCTTACACGTGCTGCTCAGAACGTGTGTCTGTCTTTTAGAGGGGTTGGAGGACTGAGGAGCGGGGCAGAGGTTTTCGGGAAAAGTGATAGAATAACCCCGCGGTCAAACCTTGTATTCTCTTGCGCCAAACGGGGCCGAAAGTCACGGAGGAAGGTTGAGCGGAGACGTGTTATCGTGTGAACGTGCCCGTTACGTGCGCGTGCGCATGGCCGCGGGATTGTGCTTCGGTGTTTGGAGCTTAGGGATGAGTGCTTGCGGGTTAGCGCACACGGATGTACGGGGCAGGCCCTTGAGAGTTACCGCACACGAATGTACGCGGCAGATCCGGCTGGTTCCGTTTCTGGTCAGAAGCGTGAAGCAGGTCTGACCCTGGCGCAATCAGAGCAGAAAACACGTTCTGCCACGTGGCGGAACAGTACACTCATACACCCTTAGGCCTTTTGCGCAAAATAGAGGCATAGTGTGGTTTCGAACCATTGACCTGCTGCTAAGAAATGTCCATCCGACATCTACATGTGGTGAACTCTCTGAGGTTTCGAACTGTAGACGGGTTGAAGGCGGGTGATTGGAGGTGCGCTAATTTTAGCGCTAGTCACGAGTGATTAGAGCCACTTCGGCGGTGCTCCCCGCTTAATCGTGACTAGGGCAAAATTAACGCCTCGTACCCCCTCCCCGACTCCGTGTCCTAATGGCGATGGCGTCCAAGTAGTAGTACGTAAGAGTTGAAGGGAGGCGATTCTTAAGGGGGAAGTAGGGAGAGAGGATGAAGAAATCCGGCATGGCCCAGGAGGGACCTCACCTCTCCCCGCCTGGTCACTCAGCTTGGAGTACGATGCCTTCAAAGAGGAAGAGAAGGGAGCTATGGAGCTGATAAGTCCTTTGGTGTAATCTCTTTCCTTTCAACCCAAGTGGGGTGGATCTTATCAGACTTGTCCCTATTTATTGAGGCTCTTAGTAGCTAATTTAGATGAGTCCACGAGTGTTCAAGTGTCATACTGCTGACTGGTTTAATTTCAGCCTTTTTTCGGTAGTTAACGGTCCAACCCGCTCACCCTCAGAATGACTGATAGAGCAATCCCAGATCCTGGTCTGCCGATGGCACAAGTGGAAAAAGACAGGATTAAGGGTATATTGGCGAAATGTTACAATGAGGGGTTGCTGCCGGAGCAGCTCATCTCGGACCAAGTGGAATCGGGGAGGATTTTGTATGGGTTGTAGTGTAGTGGACCTCTGGTTGGCCTGTGAGACCAGCCCCTTGGCCTGTTCTCACAGGCCTGTGTTGTATTCGGGGTAGTCCAGTCCAGGCCGGTACCTCTGTCGCTACCAGCCAGTCCAGTCCAGTCACGTCAGTCCGCTGGGGTATACCCCAGCTGTTGTCTGTTTTTCAGATCATTCTACATTCGCACATCTTGGAGTACGTGCGTTCGAGTCTAGCGTGGGAGCTGCGCTGTGCCATTTCGCTCCCCCTTCATCCTCCATCTCCGGAGCACCACACCTGGTGGGTCTGCCACACTGGTATCCGAGCGAGAACGCTCCCCCCTCCCACCCGCCACACCGCACAGCAGGGAAAACAGCAAAACCCGAAAATGGTTTTTTTCGCTGTTTTTGACTGTTTGCAGCGGAAAACAGCGGGAAAATTCGAAAAAAGGTGCAGCAGCAAGGAGCTGCCACGTGGCGCGAAAAGAGAAGCACCAAGGCCAAAGCTGCACAGAGACGACGCAGGGGAAATGTGGATAGACCATTCAGAGTTTAACGTCTGTATCAATCCATCTGGGTATTTTTGTGATTACAGACCCGAAAAGAACGCAACATATAAAGAATATCGACGATAAGGGGAGGAGACGGGACAAGAACAATGAAGGACCCTTTTTCTGGGAAATCCGTCTCAAGGAAACTCGGACTATGGAACCAGATACTAATATGGGTTATATTCTAGGAAAGATCATGAGGATTCTTCCTGCGTCAATAAATAGGGTAAATACATCTGCGAGAGCGGAACCCAACAAGAGAGAAAATAGAACGGAGGGATCTATGCTTATGATAGGAGAAATTATGTCATAGAACTAGTGATCCGGTGTCAGGCGGCCACAAGCAGTGCGCCGCCTGAGATCTGCAGTTTTGGGACTTAGGCTCAGGGACAAATCCGTGTTTTGATGGTAGTCTCGTATGACCAGGCAGCAAAAATTAGGGGAACTCAGGGCA